ACACTTTATCTTCCGCTATCCAAACTCCTTCATCAGAACGGAAGTCGCTTCCAGTGGTTTCATTGTATGGCAGAATTGACAACGTGGGTCAGAGCGCTTCCGTTGCAGCAATTGACACAAAACGTGGTCAGCACTCACACACTCATCACCAGGCATGGAAAATCATTTGCATTCATTTCATACATTCATTTACATTCATTTGCCTCTAACTTTTTTCATCAACAGCATTCCGCAAAATGATGTATGGAGCTTTTGTAGGTTCAGCTACAAGTTTTGCTAATAACTTAAATCTGTATCTCTTATGCATCACGAACTAGAGTGGGCAGAACTTGTTACTGTTTTTCAGTGAATGTAAAACACATTCACTGAAAAACAGTAGTGACTTCTGTTCGCTCTGCTTCGTCACGAATAAGAGATACGGATTCGACTTGTTAACAAAAGTTGTAGCTAATAACAAAACCTACAAAAGCTCTATACATTATTTTGCGGAATGCTGTTGAAGAAAAAAGTTAGAGGTAAATGAATGAAAATGAATGCACGAAATGAATGCAAATGATTTTCCATGGCTGCTCATCACTAAACGAATCCTCGGCTCTGTAAAATTAATTCGCTTGAGCCTTATCAAATAAATTAATAAACAACAAAAAGCCTTATCCAGAAATAACGTTACGATGATGATCTGAATAGCATCAGTGCCAAACTGGAACTGCGGAAAACTGCTGACAGGAAACTTCAGAAGCTGTTCGTCAACTGGTATTGGCTGCCTTCAACACCATAGCAACGATTTCATTCGGCCAACGGGTTAGCTGTTCCAAAAATTCCAAGCAAGCGCACATAAACTTCATCGCATCATCCGGAAGAAGGAAAACTTTTTGGGAACGATCGAGCTTCCCCCTGTTCCAAGTTACGTAGACACACTTCCTGAGTAACTGCTTCCAATAGATGAATTGCCCTTATCAAGGATGTCACGCAACTTGTTGATCCAACGCTTGCGTGACATCCTTGATAAGGGCATGAACATCGTTGCAATGATCGCACAATACAAGTACCGTAGATAATTATTAGTAGTAGAACATCGTTGCAATGATCGCACAATACAAGTACCGAAAGATAAACAAATTTTGACGTTTAACTTTTTCCAGGCAACTTTCCCAAGTAACATTTCTGGTTTTATGAGGTTTCTGTAGACCCTGATTTAGACTTGTAGAATGCTTTAAAACCTTGATAAAACTTGCAATGTTGCTTGGGTTTGGCACCATTAATGCCGTCATGAAACTAAACGGAATAGGATCAAGCAAAATGGCTTCAGATAAAAACAATCCAGTCTGCAAATTATCTTCATAAAAGCCGTATTAAAATGTTAAGCATTTGTTAGAGATTTCATAAAAGCAAAACAGCTTATGGCTCATGGAAAATTAATGTTTATGCTATCGCCATATTGTTATTATTCCATTTGTTTTTTTACAATCTTCGTTTTTCAAGATGTTTTTTATTTAAAACTAATTTTATTCTCATCAATTCATCAATGAGTATTAATAGAGATTACGAAAATCATCAAATTGTGTCGGCTGGGAGCAATGATTAACATTTTTTTTTTTTTTTATTTTTTTTTTTATTATAGTCACTTTAACGCTCTTGGGTCATTCGTGACTTGTCCGGGAGTGAGATTTGAACTCGTGACTTTGGCGTGAGAGGTATGGATGCTAACCTCTACGCCGGGGTCGCCCCCAATGATTAACATAATTAACATAACACATAACTATATTTTGTTCCCTAAATTAAAAATAATAAGTCAAATCAACGTTTTCCGAAGCTGGACGATCTTCAGAAGCACATTTCACATTAGATTTAATCTGTCACCTAAAAATAGACCACATGATGAGGAAATTTATGAGGAATTTTGACGGATTAATTTTTGAACAATGATTTTGGCAAGATCGGACAATATTTATGTATCCCTTTTCATCTTGATTAATGCTTTATTTATAGTGCGCTTAGCAAGCGTACAAGTATTGATTTTTTTCCTTGATTTGTTTTCCGTCGATCTTGGTTTCCGTGCTGAGCACCAATGCTACCGACGCCAGGGAGGCAGCTCCCACACCTGGACCCTACCTATCGACCCATCAACTCATGAACCGGGGACCAACGGCTTTACTTCCCTTCCGTAGGAAGGCGTGATCAGAGATGTTATGCCTCAGAACATCCCGGTGGCGCTGACTGGGATTGAATCCAGGCCTGCTGGGGTGAGAGGTAATCACGCATACCACTACACCACCAGCGCCGCTAACAAGTATTGATGCCAAATGGCATTTTTTGTAATTTTAATAAGGATTTTAAATGGTTCTCAATGCATTCGTCATATAACCTTTTTGCAGCAAGTAATTCTTGAAATTTCTTGATAATATACTCCTTAGAACCTTCTTCAGGGTGGGACAACTAGGCAGATTCTAGTCTTAGTGAGGTTTTGGTGGGGCTATCTTGACCGGGGTTTTATTAATGTTGTTTTATAGAAGCCTTATAGTACTTCATTAAACGTTAAATGTTACATGGGAGATAATATGCTAGTCTATTAAACAGTATTTTTTATTCGGGAAATCATTCACTAACAGCAACAGGACAAAGTAATGAAGAGTAATGAAATTAGGTCCTTAGCGGAATGCTTAACTGCCGCTCTTCGCATGTCGAGAGAATCGCGTTTTAAGTTCGCTTCGTACCATTATTTCTTATGTGATGGGACAACCAATGTGACTGTCTTTTCAAACTTTTTCAGATAAAAGTTGATGAGCTCAACTAGCATCATGAAATATGGGTTACCATTTGCATTGAAAAACTTAGTTTTGACAAAAACTTAGTTTTGACAAAAACGACTATGGGACCGACATGCGAAGAGCGGCAGTTAAATAAAACAGCAAAAAAGGTTATCTTCCATTTAATTCCACTTAATTAATTTTGGTATCGATTACATATACGTATTTCAACTACAATGTGCAGTCTTCATCAGTGTCATACCCCCCAGGACTATGAAACAAAATATGTTAGCAATGTCCGAAAATAACTTTTAGCTAATTTTGTCAATTTTGGGTAAAACTGTTGCCTTATTTTCAGGAGACCTCCTTTTTTTGTCTTGCGGGCTCCCTTTAACATTCTTATTCTCGTAACCACTTCGAAACTTTAAGTGCACAAATACCAGCTTTTACGACATGCGCAACTTTTAAATTGTTACTGCCCGTTTGTTGCACTGCAGCATACATGAAGTAGCAATTTCAAATCAAATGAGGTACTGATTTCTGAGATTTGTGGACTCTACAAGGAATCACCTAATGGACTCATTATCACATCGAATTTGTTAGAGCACACATATGTACCAGCTAAAAACATAGAACTATAAATATGCTTCCCCATGTTCCTACAAATTGGTCAATTTAGTCACTTTAGAGAATGGAACAGATTTTGATAATACAACTTCTTATCTTATTTTTTTTAATATTTATGATTTTACTTTTCTTTTTATTTTTACTCAAAATTAGTTAAACTGTTTAACATTTTTATTTTTATCAAGACTTTGTTTTTCTCCACAACTTTGTCTCAGACGTAATTTTGATTCAGAAGTGACGTTTTCGTGCTACAATTTTGGAAAAATTTGTCAATGATGCCATTTTGAAAAAAAAGTTACAATACACAAAATGGCCGAATTTTACCAAAAATGTGAGGGATACAAAAATTTTTGCAAAGTTTCAAAGGTCGCGGCTGATCGATTCGTAATTTTGCGTGGAACTGTTCAAATACAACTTCAATTCAAAAAAAAAAATGTTCTTTTAAACTTAAAAAAAAATTATAAATAATTGAGATAATTTGAATTTATTAAAGTGTAGCATTCCTTTGGTTCTATCTTTTTTCCCACATCTACTGTTCTACTGTACTTTACTCAGAATAATTTCCAATGCGCCAACCTTGACATAATCCATATACAATAGCAGCATAAGACAAGACGATCGTCGGTCGCTGCAGAAATGCACCATCATGGAAATGATTCAACCACCTAAGCAAATTCCAGTCTGCGCAACATTCGAGTGCTCTAAGAATATGCATTGTACTTTGAATGAAGAGCACAGCACAGCAACACAAAAGCAGTTCCGGCCTTCGGTGGCGGGAGTGTCACATTTCATGCTGGACAATCATTCTGAATAATTTGCCTCACAATGATACTCTTAATACACTTAATTTCTATGTATACGGGATGAAATCGATTTGTCTGAATGATTCATCGTGCCCATTCACAGACCTACCGAGAACAGGCAGTAACGATTTGATCGTGCGTTTATTCTCACTCATATGGAAGTTATATTCTCTCTCCCTCTTATTGTCTGCCAAAAATCATCACACCACACAGCGACAACAGCAGCAACAAAAAGCATCATCATGAACCACCCCACTAAAATGCATCGTTAACTAATAACATACCCTATGCGCTACACTCACACATATGTAAAAACCATAGGCCATATAACACCCAAATTGAAAGAAAAAACCAACAAAAAGTTGAAATGGAACATCCCGGAGCAGTGGTGGCTGACTCTGTTAATGCTAGGGGATTTTGCAACTCGGTGAAATTGCTTTCATCCATTCTACATCTAGTGGTCTGATGGTGATTTTCGTACGAGCATGTGTGTTTAGTTTGTAGTCCTTGTTGCTAATATAGGTACGTAGGTATTGCTAGCGATGTGGTGAGCCGACCGACCGTCCGGCCGTCGCTTGGCCGGTGGATAACAACCAACTTACTGCCAGCTATATCCACACATATTTATTCCGCTGAAGAGTGGTTGATCGCGCAGGGGATCATGGGGTGGAAGTTTTTGACGGATTTAGTTTTGAATACAGCCAGGTTCGCATTTTTGCGGATGATGTTTTTTCCTGATCTTAGAAGAAGAGACAATCAACAGTAAGGGAACCTTAAATTTTTCCATTGGGTGTAGAACCATTCTACTAAACATGATACAAGTTTTGGTCCATTCCATCCTTTAGTCGATGTTTAGCCTATACCTAGAGTATATATTCATGATTGCAATTTGTAAACAGATGATCTGGCTTTTTATCTTACGCCATGTCCTGACAAAGGAAGTAAAACGGGAAAATGTTGAATCTCGCTTGCATATACCTCTCTCACCACACTGCACCCTATGGAAACAACACCGCGAAGAGTTTCATATTTCCCTTCAGCTGGCGGTGTGGCTGCTGCCTCCCAAAGGGGTGATCGAATTAGCGTCGGAAAACAGATCCCCTTGCCGATTGATGGTCAAAAAAAAAAAATTACCTTCCTTGTCGAAGAAACACCGCAAAATTGAACGATTGGCGACATTCAAAATAGGACGACCAAAGATCACCAGGGCCGGACCAGAAGAAATTTCCCTATTGCAAAACGAACACCCCTACGGTGTTTATCGCGTTTCTGCTATTACTGCTGATTATGGTGGCAGGCTGAGCAGCACAAGGGATGATGGTGCGATACTGTGGGCAGTAAGGAAACGAAACGGCCGACGCTGGTACTGGTGCTGCTGCTGCTGGTACCATTCTGTTGTGGCTGGCCTAGCACTGGTGCGGAGTATTGACGACACAGAGACGACGACCACGACGACGGAAGAAGGTCCCGAATGCGCATGCTTCGAATTTATTCATAGAAAGCCCCACAGCAGCAACACCAGCAGCAGCAGAAGTAGAAACAGAAGCAGCAGTTGTTAGAGCAGCTTGTGGTGAACGACTGACAGAGATTTAACACTATGTGAGCTCCACTTTCGGATTTCTACTAGCAAGAAAATTGCCTCAAATTCTTGGAAATTGTGAGATGAAAATGGTGAAAAATCAGTAACATCCTGATCTTAAACTCGTGTGTTCCGATCTTTGCTGTGATGCTTGTATAGTAACGCTGGCTAGAAGTTGAAGGCATTTGTCCTAGTCAACAGCACTAGGCAAAGGTTGTTGTTTGGTGCAAAGATCATCATCCTTGCTGTTACTGCTGGTGCTGGTGCTGCTGCTTTTGGTGGTGTTCTTTTGCTCTGTGAAAAATAAGAGGGTATATATGTAGTAGTGTTACAAGGGCAGTGGGTATTCGCCCGAGATACAGTGTGAAGAATGTCTACTTAATCCCGAGTAGCACGGGAAATGAAGAAAACAATTTTCAGAAGTTTTCCACACGTTTGAGTGGTGTGGTGAGTTGAGAGACACAACTATTTACTCGATGATTGTGACCTTCGGAACGAGAATAACGCACATAAATATTGGATTGAACCGACGAAATTCACGCGAAACGATGGTATGTATCGATTTGGAAGCACAACTCCATTGACCTGTGTAGGGTTTCATTCCCCTTGATTAGCTCCACCAAATCTTTTCCGAAGAAAGATAGGGAGTATGTGCAGAAGTGCAGAAAAGAAGAAATTCGCTCAACACAGCAAAAAGAGTTATTAATACCACCCCACAGACAGAACTATTCGCGCAAATCGCATTATATTCTGCAGGCATGCAGTAATAAAAAAAAAGCTGAGAGCAACTCTTGGTGGAAATGCGTTTTCCCTTGTAGGCCGTGTCACTGCATTCATTATTATAAATATACCCATACATTCAGACGAGAATCGGCCACGGTGGTTCGGAGCAGCATTCGGTTTGCATAACCTAATCTGTTTTCCTCCCGACACTTCCTCATTGATGGATTCTATAGTACGAGGCACAGCACAGCAAAGCAAAGCAAAGCACAGCTCGGTGCGGAGAAAGAAAATTGACGCTCGCTGTAGGCAGAGCAATACATTGATCTTCAACATCTTGCTGGATGTTGGCGTGATGTAATACGTTTTAAGAACCTTTAACCCACTTTGTTTACTCGGTTTTATATTTGTGCAGTGCATGGCCAACGGTTAGTCACCACCGGTGGTGGTGGGTTGCTTTCGTGAAAATTCTTGAACTTGCTGGTTTCCGAGTACATTTGCGACTCAGAATAAGGCATTGTCCTGATGAAGTTGTTGATAACGTTCGCTGATAAATGCGCAGTTGAATGTCGCCATGATCACTCGGCCGAATAGTGATCGCCCATTGCTTATGTTTAACAATTTAGGATTTACCATACACATTGTGAATCATAGATGGATGATCGAATCTTTTATTGTTGTTTTGATTAGACCACGATGATCTCTTGCTGATTGTGGCACAATTTTCATGCTTCCTGGATGTGTTTACACTTTGTTGCCTAAGCAGTTCAGTACAATTTAAACAGTTTTTTTTATAAATACATGTCAGTGTAACAAGCCATCTCAATTTAAAACTAAAAACTTTAACTGTTACGGCCCAAGAATGCTACTTTTAGGAACATCAGCTTTAACAGGTAGTCGATCAAATTTGAAATTCTGATAATTTACTTGCAGAGCTTCTTCTTCTTCTTATTCGCATTTCAAGCTTACTGCATATCGCATATTAGCTTATTGCGTACTCTCAACTTAGTGTTCTAGATGCACTTCCACAGTTATTAATTGAGAGCTTTCGATGCCTGTGCCATTTTTGCATTGGTATAATTGTGTGGCAAGTCCAATCATACTTCTATGCCCAGGGAAGTCGAGAAATTTTCCAACCCGAAAAATTCCTAGACCGGACCGGGAATTGAACCCAGCCACCTCCAGCATTGTCTTGCTTTGTAGCTGCGCCTTTACCGACTGAGCTAAGGGAGGCCCCTTACTTGCAGAGCCCTGTAGGTAAATAATTCAGAACTAATTTTATAAAATAGAATAATTTTAGCAATCAAACCTTCGTGTCAAATACTGTCGAATGCTTTTTATATTTATAAAAGAGCAACTCCAGTTGAGTAGCCTTCAGATTTGTAAGAACGAATCCAATTTGTAACTCGTAAAAGTTGATGAGTAGTTGAATGACAATGACAAAATCCAAATCTATTTGAAGAAAGCAAATGTATTGGACGGTAGATAGAGGCTTCAGCTCGGTTTACTTCACCGAAGAAACCTACCCTCGAAAACGTCAATGAAGATTAGAAAAGACTTTTGACCGACTTTTTTTCAGAGCGGCCCCACTGTGCGTCGGTAGCATTGGTACAAAGTACGAAAAACAAGATCGGCGGAAAACAAATCAAGGGAAAAAAGTATACTTATTCTAATTTATAATTCTTAATGTAACTCAAAAGTCCTATACATTTTGTTGATTCCTCCTGGTATTAATTGCATTAATGCACTAATTATGTCACGCTAAAATGAGGAAATTATTACACCCTCCCCCTTTGGTTACAATTTCCTATAACTAATGCATTAATTGTCAAACAATCTTATACCCCCCCATCTATAGCGTGACATAATATTTGCATCACCTCTAAACCATCTAACGCACTCCCACTGGGATTCATCCACAAAGTTAAAGAGAGCGCAAATAAAACCCTTTTTTTCTCGAAGCTGTTCCACGGTAACGTTCGAGTGGTAGGAAATGTAATTTTTCATTGCTAGAAAGGAAGGTTTTGTTAAAATTAAAAAAAAAACTTTGATTACTTAATTTTCATATAGGAGCTCAGTCGGAAGAGGCGCAGCTACAAAGCAAGAGGTGGCTGGGTTCGATTCCCGGACCGCTCTATGAATTTTTCAGTTTAAATTACTCGACTAACCAGGACATAGAGTATGATTGTAATTATACTAATACAAAAATGGTACAGGCATCGAAAGCACTCAATTATTACTGTGGAGTCCATCTAGAACACTAAGTTGAGAGCACGCAATAAGCTAATATTCGATAAGCAATAAGCTTGAAATGCAATGAAGAAGAAGTTTTTTTTTCATATAATCTTTTTCATTACTTTTCAATATAAAATGCTTACGTTAAATCCAATTGAATGTTCAGTTAATCCATCTTAAAATAGATATTTTAGTGCTATTAATATCCCTATCAAAATCCGAAATATCGGCACCGTAGAGCTTCACTCTGTGTTTTCACTGAAGCGACACTCGAGAGCGCTCTCAAGTGTGCCTTCAGTAAAAACATAGAGTGTGGCTCTATGGTGCGCATATTTTGAGCACTAAACTATCGATTTGAAGATGGGTTAACTGAACATTCAACTGGATTTAACGTAGGCATTTTATATTAAAAAGTAACGAAAAAGTCCGAAAAGAGCGATCTATCCCTGACTCTAATCAAATCTAAGCTGACTAGAAAACTGGTAAAAGGTACCGAAACTGGTGAATAAATAAACAGGAACGAACTCACCAAATGAACGATGGTTTGCCCGTGAAGCAAAAACTAATTCTAGCTCAATATTTCACAACATTCCATTGAATCTTCAAAGATATTCTTGTACAATTCGCCTCCAATTAGAATCATCGAACCGCCTGCAGTTCCGACGAAAAGGATGCTGATAAATAAAAACACTTTGGAATGCATTTCACCCGATCACTTGCACATGCTTTGCACTAAAGTTCTTTTCTAGAACATTGCTTCGAGCTAAGAAGCAGAGCACACTTCGACCATATAATCTTTGGTAGAAACTCGTCCTAGGGCGTTATACCACCACACCAATTCAAACAAACAAATTCTGACAGCACTAGCACAAAATGAACCGTTCACACGACAGAGCCTACACACTAAGTTTTTTCTACCGATCTCAGCAAACATTTTGTTTTGTTTGCTGAAATTCAGCTAAGCATTATCCAAGGCTCAGCAATCAATTGTCACTTATGCTGAGATCTCAGTGAAACTTATTTTTACCGAGATTTGCACAGCTGAGCTCGGTAGAAAAAACTAAGTGTGTAGTTAGATCCTCTCTGTTGTAAACATTGACCAGAGTTGCGACCTATCACAATCACCATCATCAAACAGCTGATGGTAGTAACGCTTTGTACATTCCTATCAATGTGCTCGTCGAAGCTCTCTCCATGACCATCCATCAAGTTGACGAAAGAAGTAAAAAGCAACTGGTGAATGTCGTCTTCTGTTGTGATCCATCACCGATCTGGTCATTCCTGACAATCACGACACTCATCTGTGCTCGTTTTGAAGCAGTTGCTGCTTTGCTTCCTTATGTGAGTGTGTTTGTGAGTGAGCCCAACAGCTTCCGTTTAATGTTGCCTGCTTCGTTTGTAACTCACACACTCGCGCCTGCCGAGACGAACTTGGAATGCGTAGGTCATTTTCTTCTGTCGTTTCGCTTTATCCCATGATCGTACTGCAGAAGTCTTCACTGTTTTCGTTGTGCTTTTCATTATCAGCAGCGAGTGTAACGTTTTGCTTGTGAGCAGCGACCATTAAGCTGGGTTTAGACTAGGCAAGTCAAATGAACAACTCAGTTGAATTCAATTGGCTTGAAAAGTTGAGCCTGGTTCAACTTTTTTCAATTCAAGTGAGTTGATCAAGTCAATTGAATGGCATGGTTTACACGTTCAATTCGCGTTCGACTTGATCAATTGACTTGCCCTGTCTAAACCCAGCTTTACTGGTGATTGTTGTTTGCCATGGCTCTAACTCTCACTGCGTGACAAAACGATCTGTCAGCGATAGTCGGTTGATGCGAAGACGAGTGTCACGTGAGTGTCATGATATTTTGCATCACATTGACTATAGATACTATAGATTACATAGATAAGCGGAGCCGAAGTAGAATGTAGCCAAACGAACTGTCAGTAAGTGTAGCCGAGCATGATGTCATCATGGTGTTTTTAGCAGGGGAAGTATTGTAATATTATGAGCACAAAACGCTTTCCACCCTCCACATTCCGATTTATTTCGCGTAAAATGGAAGAAGGAAATATTACGCAAACCACTCCTCGATTGATTGTTGCAAAGATTTCCTTTGCACTTCATTTTGAACTTTTGCGCTTGCAACAAAACAAAACTGCACATTGAAGAGCCCTATGATGAACATTTTTCACCGGAGCCAGTAAGATCATTTGTTTTTCATGGTAGTAAAAAAACTGTTTTGTGCCTCCGCTTATCTATGGAATCAATACTATATATACATTGACCATACTCGTGGCAACATTTGGCAACTCGAGCACTCAAGTAATATGAAAAATCTTGACTGATTTATGATTCATTTCACTGTCCGTGCAGATATCATTTGAAGAACATGGGCCGTCAAAGCGAAACCTTGAAGCATCTGCTTTGCAGTTGTAGTGCATTGTATAGGCGCAGATCAATATTTCTTGATAGTGGTTGTTTACAGCCCTGTGAGATTTGGTCTGCTAAACCACCACATCATACCTAACTGGGAACGTGTCGAGGCAACTAGCTGATCATTCGATTAAATGTGGTTGTCTTGCATGACCCGCACAGTAAACAGGAATATACCAACTACAGATCAGGAGATATTCCAAACTTCGAATCAATCAATGCAGTAGTTTAACTCTCTGAACAAAAAACAAGATTTTCCAAACAGTTTTACTTCATGATCACCAAGATTTTTTTGTAGATCCCTAATGACGAGTAAGCACTTCTACTGTTTTCGTGACTTCTTTTCGTAATAAGATGTATGTTATGACTGTAAATGTAGGAAAGGAAAGGATTCCCCATGGTATCGTTTCAATACTATCGGTGGAATGATGATTTTTAATTAGCAGGTTGATTTGAATTCTTGGTGTTTTTAAATTTAATTTTTGATATATGTAGTTATAAACAACTTTATAAACCTAATAGTATTCTCGCGTCATTTTTCAAATAGACCAATCTACATTGATCGATCTCATCATCGACTCTCTCTTTCGTTAATAACTTGGCTTCAAAAACATGTTCAGCTGTTCTTATCGCCCAATACTCTTAATAATACTTCATCATTCATATAGAAAAAATAGCCCGTAATATGAATGCAGTGAAGTTATTAACGACAGAGAGAGTCGAGAACATGGTTCTTAGTCAGCCTGTTTGTAAACATTTATATAGATATTACGAAAACATGTTTTTAGTTAAACGTGCTATAAATTTAATGAGGATCAATGACGATAATGCTGATAATGGTCCCATCACTTTCTTCAACAACGGCTTGAGCTGGGTCATTTAGGTTTAAGATAATTAAGTTTAAGATCAGCAAACAAAATCGAACCGGGTATAGTAACACATTTAAATTCCCTCTAAATTTTATTATAGTTTCATAGTCACATGTTAAAAAGGTTTAGTCATCCACCTCTTATTCCAGCTATATATCCAACTCGTATATTCTCTAATACTCCCAGTGATTAAGACTTCAAGCATAATCCAACAAAGCATTCATTTACAATAGCAACTCAGCAAATACGATGTTTTTATAATTTTCAGCATTGTCAGGATTTTCATGGAAAATCCAGATGTTCAGCCAGAAATGTTAATATTACTGATTCAATGCATCTTCATATAAGCTTCAAAGTTACATATTGTGTATCTTATGTGAAATGTAGTCCTTAAAATCTAAAACATGTGCGCAAGGCTCAAACCATTCTAGACTACACAGCATAACTTTATAACCTGCTGAAGACTGGAACGCGCAAAAATTGGTCAACGAAAAAATTGTTTCTTTCAGTCAAAATTCATATCACAAAAATCTTCTTATTTTTCTTTTGGTAGTTCAATTCATATATTAAAAGGAAAAAATGTTAGTTTATTCTTTTGGTTTGCCAAATCCGAACTTCCGTGCCTTCCGCTTAAACCCTTCCATTAAATTTTGCCCAGTGGTCTCATCGACCTTATTCGCCGGCGAACGCCAGTTAGATTTAAACTGCTGCTCGTTTACAAGGGATTTATTAGTTTTTTTGAGATTCCGATTGACCAAGGCCCAATACCGTTCGATAGGGCGGAGTTTTGGGCTGTTGGGGGGGGGGGGGGGGGGCTGGGGTGTGGTCTTTGGGTACCACAACCCCGTTTTTCGCATCGTACCACTCGATTGCCTTTTTCCCATAGTGGCAGCTAGCCAAGTCCGGCCAGAACAGCACAGGTCTATTATGTTGCTTTAGGAATGATAGCAGCCGCTTTTCCAGGCACTCCTGGACGTAGATCTAAAATAAAACTCCTGTCCCGCAAGTTGCTTGAAATCCGCCTTCACATAAGTTTCGTCGTCCATGACGACACAGTCGAACTTTGTGAGCAGATTCGTATACAGCTTGTAATCTTGGTTCACCACCTTCACCTTCTTAAACGTCGACAACCCGGCTCGTTTCTTGGCCCACTACATAGTAGTATGGGAGAAATTGAGCTTGCCAGCGACGTCCCGGATGGAGAGGTTAGGATTCTGCTTATATTTCACAGCCACCTTCTTCGTCGTCGCTGCCACGTCTGGATTACAATTGCCGCCGCTTCCAGGCTTCCTGGCGGTCGACAGACGCTCCCCGAACACTTTTAAAACGTTTGTCACGGTTGATTTGGTCACATCCAGCAATTTTGCAAACTTGGCGTGTAAGAACGTCGGATTATCTTGCAGCGCGAGCAAAATTTTGACACGCTGCTGCACGCTGAAAACTGCAAACGGTGAAAACTCATCATAAAGGGTGTCCACGATGAAATTGCCACACACAAAATTGATTCGCAAAATTCGAGTTTTCATCCGATTGCCATCAAATTTTCAGGGATTAAACTTCATTTTACCATTTTACTCGTATTTTATTTACAGTCCATACGCAAATGCCCGCACCTTGGCCTTAACCCCGGCCATAAGATTCTGCACAACATGTGAATCAACCGTTTTTTGCATGTAAACCCATACTTTCTTCAGTTCCTCGACTGTCTTCACTACCTTAGGTCGTTTAAGAAGGTGCTGCTTCATAATCGCCCAGTACTTCTCGATGGGGCGGAGCTCCGGAGTGTTGGGAGGGTTGAACATTTTCGGCACGAAATTGACCTTATTGTCCGCATACCACTTCAGCACGTCCTTGGAGTAGTGGCATGAGGCCAAATCCGGCCAGAAGATTGTTGGGACGTTGTGGGCCTTCAGGAGAGGAAGCAGCCGCTTCTGGAGGCACTCTTTTATGTACACCTGTCCGTTCATCGTGTCCTGGGTCACGAAAGGTGCACTCCGCTTCCCGCACGTGCAGATGGCTTGCCAAACCAGGAATTTCTTCGCAAATTTGGACATCTTCTGAGTGCGGACATGCTCCGAAACGCTGAACTTATCCTTGGCCGTGAAAAACAGGTTGCCGGGGATCTGTTTGAAGTCGGCCTTCACATATGTTTCGTCGTCCATGATGCAGCATTCAACTTTCGTCAGCATGTTGAGGTACAACTTCCTGGCACGGGTTTTGGCGGACTTGTTCTGCTTCTCGTCGCGATTAGGTGCCTTTTGTACCTTGAACGATCGAAGCCCAGCCTTAGTTTTGGCCTTCTGGACAAAACTTCGGCTTAGGTGCAGCTTCTTAGCCACATCCCTAACGGAGGCGTTCGGATTTCGGTTGAAGGCCCCAACTACGCGGTTGTGATTTTTGGTGTTGTACGGAATACTTTTTCCTTCACTTCTGGGCTTCCGATCGGTGGTCAACCGTTCCTCGAACCGCTTAATCACTCGCGACACCGTGGAATTCGCGATTCCCAACGTTTTAGCGATGGAACGATGCGAGAGATCCTTGTTCTCGTGATGAATGCGCAAGATTTTATCACGCACGAGCTGTTCTTTCGACTCCATTTCCGCGAGTTTTGATCACAGGACTTTAAAACTTGCAGGATGTAAATAATGCACTATGAACTAAATCCACCCAAATTTTCATTAAATTCTACCCAACGGTTAAAAAGTTAGAGCAATTTCATAGTGTGGCAATTTCATCGTGGACACCCTTTAGCAACCATTGTATATACTCAACTTCCAAATGCAGCATTTCAGGTTTTTTTTCTGCATTTTTAACAGAATTTCACCAATTTCAAGTTGACCAATTTTTGCGCGTTCGAGACTTTACAATCAAGTCAAAATTGAAAATCCATCATCACCATAGTTTTTGTCAGTACAATTATTAAAAATGGTTGGACAATCATGCATACAAAATATTTCATTAGTGATACTTCATCTAGATATAAATTTGTTTTTGTGCATTTGATAGGATTTTTCTTTTATTTCAGAATGCAATAAAAGGCATTTGGTTAATACGTTGGTTCATTTCGGTGATTTCAATATGTGTCTCATTATCTGGAAAAATTCCAATATGTTTCATACAGACATTCAACGAAAAACACTTTTTAAACATAAAAAAAAACATGATTCTCCTTGATAAAACTTTAAGATCTGTCCATATAACACGTGGACAGTTTAGGGGGTAGTAGGGTTTATAAAAATTATATAGATGATTGCCTTGTTTCCTTGATTGATGATGATTGTTTCAGGGGTCTGAAATCAATATCTGTCCATGTTGTTTGTGGATAGCCCCTTATCGCTATAAAATGCGGAATTCTATGATAAATTCTTTTCTTGATTACACAAAATTCGGCCATTTATCGACTCTCCTTTATTGTGAATTTTTGAATCAGTCTAATGTAGTTGATTTTTTTTTTTCAAGCCTTGATCGCTGAATGATATTTTCATCATGGGTAATCGAAACATATGTAGTTCTAGAATTATTATTATTTTTAACATGGATTATGGATTACGAAGGGGCCTCTTTTAAATCAATCCTAGACACATTTCGAGTAATATGGAAATACATGACTGTTTTGAAATATTTCAATGTGATGCCCCAAGCTACTACTGCTCTCGGATGCGTTTAAACATTATTTTGCGTTTAAATTCGTATCTTACTATTGCGTAATTTGCATCACTTTAGACTCCTATGCAAAATATAATTGCACAGTAATATTTTCGCACAGACTGCAAAATTTAAAATTTACTTATTTGAAAGCCGTAGCAGTTCAGCAATAGTATTGACAAGCTACACTAATAATTTAACACTCTAAAAAACTTTAAGAAGTGCAATTTAAATATTATTTTCAGTGCAAAAATGTTACTGTGTGCTTATTTCCAGTGCAGGAGTCTAGTGAGGTGCAAAATCTGCAATACTTACACATACTCAGACAATAAAAACACATACTCTATTCTGTTTTTACGTATCATTTTTCACCCATATTTTTGATCATGTGATCAACTTAAAAAAAAAATCCTAAATTTTAAAATCTCGTAAAAACAGAATATACCAAATCATTAGCAACCCATGAACAACGATCCAGACAGTCCCAGTAATAATGCAATATTTTCCACTTTCCCCTTCACAGGACGCGCCAAAGCAGTACCCCACCGACAATCCTGAAATATGGATGCGCCATCAATGGTCCAACGTGATGGCGACAAATTGATCGTGCGGCGTGTGGTCAGTGGCGACGAAGTGATTCTCAACCAAACCGACTCCCCATCGTCGGTAGCGTCCAGCAAGGACGTCCAGCACCAATCGTCATCGGCGTCGAATCAATCCCTGGCGGAAATCTATCCCAGGGAAGAGGATCTCAGTAAATTTGGCCTGATTTTGGAAGACAGTGCCCAGAAGAGTTCTACCAGTGAAACCGGTGACAGTACAGAGCATCAGTTGCCCCAGTGTAAGATTAAGCGAAACTATTCGTGTAGTAATTGTACGTACTTTACCCAAAACCCACGAAAGTATTTAACTCATCTGCGAGATGTTCACGGTGAGAAGATTATTATCAACGAATGCAAGCGATGCCTGTATGCCTCGCGCCACTATCAGAAGCTGGTGCGCCACATGAAGATGGTGCACGGCTCGACGGACGGAATCAAGACACCGTTTAGTTCGCGAAGACGTGGAACGTTTCGAAAAGAGTATTTCAAGAAAAATAAATTCAAAATGAATACCAATATAACGGATAGTGATTTTTACAGTCAAAGTAGAGCTAACTATTTCGATCAGCTGAGCAAGATGCTGCGCGGTGCGGCAGGAAGCAGTGCGGCAAGTGAGACTGCCGGGGACAATCCAATGTACCTTACACGTGAGTCTCTTGTTGAATTGTTACTATACTGCTTATAATCGCATGTCAGTCCCATGTAAATTTTCGTCAATTTTGAGATAACAACGCTGTCCATTATTAATTGGAATCTATTTCCATATTACGTGATAAAACTACGGACTTTGATCATGAAAAATGTGAAAACAACATCGAGTCAGTTTTTCCCATCAAGCAAAATAATCGCATATTAGTCCCATCCTAAAATTCAATCGTCCATAGATGAAGTTAAAGTTCTGCTAATCGAATTGTCATATTTTTGCTGATATAACAAAACATTCAAGCTTAATTGCAACTGATTTTAACTTGACAAAATTATCGATTAATTTACTATAATTGTTTTAATATTTACATGGAAATTGCACTTCTTAACTTCAACTCCCATTTTCTCAATGCCTACTTTTTCCATATGGGACTGATATGGAATTATAAGCAGGTAGTATAGTATTTGTTTGAATAAGCTTTTCACTGCTATTATGGGTAAAAGGTTAGGTCAAATGGCTTTCTCTATTGTATTGTTATTCATAATAACATTTAATACCTTTTTCAGCTATACCCAACACTAATCAACTGGTGGTGCGATTGACACACGCCAACCAAAAGTAGGTGAAGGGTCTTAAAAGTGGTGTCCTTTTTACAAATCAAATTATAAGGAAGTTATGACCTTGAAACCAGTGCTGCAAAATATCAATATCAATACCTACAAAATGCTGAATATCACTAGCCACCTGATGTCAGTGGTTAGAACAGTTAGAATATCAATATCATTCGCCTCAATGTCAGTGTGCAAATGACATTGACGTCGTAAAAGGACCACTGATATTCAAAGTTCTTCCGCAAATATTCAATATCATTCGCCTCAATGTCAGTGTGCAAATGACATTGACGTCGTAAAAGGACCACTGATATTCAAAGTTCTTCCGCAAATATTTCTTGTATAGGCCAGTTTATCGAGTACCGATCTATTGTAAATACATCAGTTATATTAAAACAAGCAACGGTTATACAAAATAGTTGATAGTTATAGAGATTTTCAACTTTCCCCTAGTGATATTTATATGGATAATAATATCAAAGCTGTACCGCCTGATATTATGCTTTCGAAGAATATCAGTGTCGGAAGTGAAATTCAGTGCTTGACCAATATCTTATGTCAATTCACATTGTGGACAGCACGCAGCACTGCTTGAAACACTAAAAACGCTTAAAACCTAAAAATCTATAAACTAAATGATCGTGATGCTTGACAAGGCTTGTAAATCTCCTAAATTAGCTTAAACACTTGCCAGACTTAATAGTTATAACCTTCACGGCGAATGAAAACGACCCAAATTTGAGTTTAGTTTACTCATAAATCACATAAAGTGCAGGAACTCAGCGATGAATAAATTAATCTCATGTTTTTCCAGGTTTTTTCCAGGAAAAAATTCCTGAATATGAGAAAAGCAAAGATTGGATTCATTCAGTCTATTGGTACTACTTCTAGAATGAGTAAAGTTTATGTCAATTTTCCTCATTTTCCGGTAGATTTTTGAGGTTGTCCACAGGAAAATAGGAGGCAAATTTGCTCATCGCTGAGTTTCAGCACTTTTAGTGACTATTCTCATTCGCCGTATAGGTCTGACGAAGACGTAATGATTTTCGAACCAATTTAAACTGTCAGAATTGAACCAGTTTGTATTGTAAATTTAAGATCGACACAGAAACAGGAGGTATTAAAATCTGAGTGAAAAGTCAACCGTTATTTATTTTTCGGAAATTTCTTCATGCTTATTAGACAAATACGTATTTTCTGAGTTTTTGAATAATTTAGTTATAATCAATTACCTAATCTAAACAAACAAAATTATTAACCGGAAAAATCTTACAATACATGTTAATTTTCACCTTCTGTATCTGTATGAAAGTATCGAGAACATTAACTTTTTCGTCCTTACCAAGTTGGATATAATCTGAGAATGTTTAGTTCAGCGCAAGGAAACATTGATATAGTTTGTAGCTTATGAAAATAGTTTCCTGATGACTTGAATTGCTGAGTAATGTGAACTTAGCGAAACCAGCCTTGGAATAAGCTTCGTTTTACCGGAGCATTTGCAGTGTAGCTGCAAAATTTCGCGTATGAACGTTCTCAGTTTTTTGGCCAAATCTAGAACAGAGGCACTTTTACTATTGACGAAAGTTTGGTGATCTTCTGGTTCACTTTTCGGTCCACCGGTCCCGGTTTACGGCAAGATTTCGATGTGTTCTTGAAGGTAACTTCTGCACCGATCTTCCGGATGGCGGTTTGGACTGCTCCGATACTTATTTCCTCCATTTTCACCAACTTCCTTACTGATAGGTTGGGAATAGTGCACCATTTGTGCACGATCTGTTTGCGCTTTTCTTGGGATTGCGTTAGCTTTGTTAGCATTTGATGATTTTCTAAAAAAAAAAGCTGCACTTTGTCTAATCTAATCTAATCTAATCTAATCTAGTCTAATACAAACGCAGCCAGTACGATAAAGCATCCTGGAAAAAGATTAGGTTAGATGAGGTCTAATCATTTTTCTTGTCTAATTGATGTTTACAGCATATCTGAGGTATGATATAAACATCAATACGGCCAGACCTACTGCGTTGTATTTGCCGCAAAGATGATTCATGGAAATGAATGGGAACATTACTTGAATCTACAGGGGTGGAAGGATGCGTGGACATACCGTACCAAACGTTCCGAGTTACTATGTGTAGTTGTGTGTAATGTGTAAATATTTGTACAATATTGAAGGATCTTACCGAATTTTCTCCTATGTTGGTAATGATTATTTTGCGCTTAAAAGTTTCGTTGGATGATGCATCCATCCGCTCCTTGTTTATCATGGGGTTTGGGATGCAGTTCCTCGTCATTGCTCGTGGTTATGTTTAGTCCGTCGCGTCCGGACCAGATCTTTAGCCATAATCTTGGCCGCATCCATCTGATTTTCTTTGGCCAGCTTTTTTATGTCGGCGATGATCTTCTTTTTCTGCTGTTCCATTTTCATCTTCTCCCGATCAAAATCCCGCATCGCTTTATTCAGAGCCCGCTGGTTCTTGCACATCATTTCGTCCGGAGACATTTCCTTACCGAACAGCCACTCCATTTGGCTGGTTGTTTTCCGGATCAAATAGTGGTAAAACTGGTTGAATAAAGCGGAACTTCGGTGGTCTCACAAGCTAATCTTGCACAAAATTGGATTCTAATTTCTTTTTCGAATCGGACTCTACTTGTAATCGGATTACCGGTCATAAATGCACTTGGAAAAAAACCTTCTTTCGACCATAAAAAGAAAAACTATTCTTCAAAAAACTTATCGATTTTCAAAGCTGACAAATCATCTTCAGATAAAATTTGGAAAATTGCGACGAAAACATAATATACGAGCTATTTGATCTAAAAAAAACTACACTTTGTGCACACAAACTTGCTAGCGTTAGAGCTATCACCTCCTAACTCCCGGACTAAAGCTGTCTACAATGACCATAAATGCGGCATTGTAGAGAGAGTTCTTTCATAATAACACTGCCGGCCAGTGGGGGTTAGACGGAATACAAACACAAACTTGATAGCGTTGGCGTTAGCGTTGATATGATATACTTCGTAGATTGGATACTAGCGACACTCACGACTCTTTTGAAATTTTCAGTCAGACTACTTTCAAGAATAATGCTGGGGAGTAAACATTGATTCCAATCTAAATAAGAATACCAGAAGCATGACTGTCGCTATTCCCGGCCACGCCCATCTTTACCATGACTAGGGAAAGGGAAGGAGATCCCAGACAACAAAATGCACGTATATTCAAAGTTGTTTTCGTGATATACAAACATATATACAAACAAACAATTTGTATAGAATGCAAATAAATGGCTTATACGTACAAAAAATGAGTCATCGCATATAGGTCGGAAATTGGCATTCTATACGATTAAACTTAAACATAATGCTAGGTATGCCATTCTTATATGCGATTTTGACTTATACTGTAGCAATTTACGATACTGTCTGTACATTGTTATACGACTTCTGGTTGTCTGGGATGTTTATGTAGTACTTACTTAACGAGAGGCCACCGACTTAGCGACACCCTCATAAGTGCGTTTTTGTGCACACAAACTTGTTGAGCAATAAGTAAACAACAACACACGTAGAAGAACAGCTGATAAACTTCATCGGGGTAGAATTGACGGTGAGTTTAAAATGTGTTTATACTTTCTGGGACACCCTATAAACTAGACTAACTTCAGCAAGTTTTATATAACTTCATCAAACCTTCTCAAAAACATACGAACTTTAGAGAAATTAATCAAATTCTGTAGAAGGGGAAATTCGATGAAGCTCAGATATTTTTTTAACTTCAAAAGTCTATTCAAAACTTCAAGGATTTTGTACAGTGATCATTGTAGAAACTCGATAAATTTAAAATGAATTCTGAAATCTTCGATGAAAGCTTCTGAGAACCTTTAAAAAAAATCATGGTACTTTGTAGAATCGGGAACCTTGTACGAGTTAGGGAAACTTCGTTGAAGTATAATAAACTTTACTTAATTTTAAGTAACTTCGGGGCACTTTGTTAAAGTTTATTGAACTTTAATTCCGTGAAAATTCAGGGAACTTTTAAAAACTTCAGGGTTTAAGGGACTTCGTAGAAGTTCAAATTTGTAAAGAAGGTTCAAGGTCTTTCCTGAAGCTTGGAGAAGGTCATAAATGTTCTGAGATCTTGGTCAAATTCAGATAACTTCGAAAAAATAATTATGGAACTTGGAAGAAGTTTATGGAACTGAGAACATTTTCATGATGTAAAGACAAAAAAAAACAATTCAAGGAACATTGGAGCAATTTTCAATGCTACAACTAAGTATCTTTATTTGAACGGTTTCTGTATGAAGGAGTTTTGGCGATGTCCGCATAATTCCTTTTTGTATTCTATATGACAAGGCAAAGTCTGCATCAAACGCTGAATTAAGAGACACGCGTCTCCACATCACATGTTTTCCAGAATATCAAACTTGAGGCATATAAGGTGTTTAATTTCTATGCGATACAGCGCTCTGAGCTGAACTATATGATACTAATAAGTTCCTTTTTTTATGAGGAATAGATTCAGGTTTAACAATTGAAATCATATCTCTCTACATCCTGTGTTTTATCAATTTCGCGAAATTGACCAGTCATTCCTGCCGTTCAAAAGCCATTCCAAGGTGAACATTCCAAGACAACGACAAATACAACACGCAATATTTAATCAGTCAACAGTGTGACGACTAAGCTCAAGAGTTGCACCATTTTCTAACACACGAAAACGTTTTCCTTCTTCTTGTAGCCAACTTCAAACCCGGCCTAACACTGGCCGACCAGGCACAACAGTTATCGCAGCTAAAGGGCTCATCAAACATAAATATCTTCACTGATAACGGTGGAAGCTCGTCGCTCGGCTGTGCTAGTGCTAGTGGTGATTCAAGCAGTCAGGTAAACAACGTGAGTCTTTATCGTACTACTCTTTTTTATTTCGCCGTATAGGTACTCATTGAGTATTGTTCTTTCGTTTTAACAGGACGTTCTGGCCATGTTGCAGCACAATTTGGTGGATAAGAATAAGCAACTTACGATCACTCCTACTTCTATGGCAAGCGGTAGTGGGGGAAGTGGAGCGGATATGGTTACGAAACCGAAGAAGAAGGTACGTCCCATCCCCGATCTGATACCTCTACACAGTATCGGTCAGCTGCATCTGCAAGGAGAGGTGGGTAAGACGTATCATCTAAACCCAGAGGTCACCATCAAAAGTCGCGTTGCCGATAGTGATAATAACAACTCCATAAATGCTAGCACGTCTGGGAAGACGTACGTCATCGACGATGAAAGTCCAATCAATCTGACGGCAGATCAGAATGGCGATAAGAGTCTACAGCATCAGTGCATCTTTTGCCACATTATGGTGAGAACGACGGACGATTTGGCGATGCATTTGCGAACGTGTCACAGTGAGGAACTATTTGCCTTACTGTTGCAAAAGAAACCCGAAGATAATGGACAAACAGAGCTACAGTCGTATACAGCAGAGAGCTTAACGATAGACATCTGGAAGAGGCTGTTGGAGAACAATAAGGCGATAATGGAAGAGCAAGAGTCTCGTGAAAACGATAGCGAAATGCAATCTGGACAGTTTTCCAACGATGAGGATGATGCGGAAACAGTCGAGTCAGCAATAAGTAGGAACGACACGTATTTAGGAGTGGAAACTGCTCCCGGGTATGGCGAGGTAACGAGTAAGCTCAACATTGACGATGGTACTACCCAAACATCAATTATGAAAAAGGTATTCAAGTGTCCACATTGTTCGTTCTGGGCCTCGACGGCTTCCAGATTTCACGTTCACATTGTGGGTCACCTGAACAAGAAGCCCTTCGAATGCTCGCTTTGCTCTTACCGATCGAACTGGCGTTGGGACATTACCAAACACATTCGCTTGAAGACGATTCGAGATCCTAGCCACAAGAACGCCGGAGTCTTGATGAACGACGAAACCGGACGAAGAAACTATACCAAGTACAATCGGTATATTACGTTGATGAAAGTCACCGACAACAGCTATAAGGACAGTTCCTCGAGCTCAAAGTCCATGATCGATACAAGCCAAGCTGACTACCTAGCCATGTGCAAAGCTGGAGAATCGCCGGCCAGCTTGAACAGCTTAGCAAAGATGTACTCCAGCGAGGAATTGGCCCAGGCGTTCAACTTGGCTACCATGAACCAGATGGCCAGATTCGAACCGGAGATGCTGCAAAACCTCGTGGGAATGCCGAAACCCTTGCCAGCCGAAGATGCTAAGCAATCACCCCAGAAGGTGACGTTCAAATGTAAAAAGTGTAATTTCAAGTAAGTACCTCCCTATCGAATGGTCAAAAGAAGAACGAGCCACTAAATGTCATTTCTCCCGTTTGCACAGGAATCCCTTCCGTGAGCTAGTGCTGCTGCACATCAAGTCCACCCATATGACCATAGATAAATCGAACAACGCCGAGGCTGAGCTGGATCTGATGCCTTGTGGCGAGGACCAAGACGGCGAACCGATCGAAACCGTTACCACAGCAACAAACAGTACGCTTAATGCACAATCTCCGCTAAGAACATCATTATCACCACTGTCGGTTGTTAGTCCAAGAAGCGATAGCGGTAACATCGGTGGTTTGACCGGTGCCTCCACCAGTGCTAGTACCACTCCAAGTGTGACTTCCGGTTCGGCCGGTGGCTACAATAGTAACCATTTTACTACTAACGCTACATTAATTGGTGTCGGATTAAACTTTACCCAGGCTGTAGCTAATGACAATCGGTTGGGAACTACCTATACTCTCAGTAATACTATACCTAGTGTCGTGTTTGGTGGTGAGGTGAATAGGACGATAAACACTGCTAGTACAACTACCAAATCTACTACTATAAGCGCTAGTTCTGCATCGGCTAGTACTACCAATACCAATACCACTACTACTCCTCCCTCTACTAGTACTACCACTACCACTACCACAACGGGTGGCAAGGGGGCGTCCAACACGTGGCGTCCGAGTGCCCCGTATCGGTGCGGTCATTGTCATCAGGTGTCGAATTGGAAGCATGTCATCCAGGTATTTGCAAGATCAAAATTCTACTACACCATTTGTGTTTTGTTTCTTGTGCGCGTGAGATGTGATTTGTTTATAGTTACTATTTCGTTCGTTTGAGTAGGTTTATCACTAGATCTATTTTTCATTAAAGTTCATTTCCATCCTTCCGTCAGATGATCTCTAGTATTGACTTTATTTTTTTTTTAGTTTGATTACTAACATTGAATGAATTGACGTGATATATAGATTATGACGCGTCATCTCGCGCATTTGACGGCACGAATCTCAGCATTCATGCGATGACCAGATATGAAAATTTCGCCACAGTATATTTACAACCGATTTGTGATTAAACTGCATACATTCGTATAACTCTCCGTGTTTTTACAAGTTTAAATCAGTGGTTTGGATACATTGTTGGAAAGGAAAACGTTCGATCTTCTTCATCACATTTCAAGCTTATTGATGTAGATGTACTTGTATTATTTGAGAGCTTTCGATGCCTGTCCACGTTTGCATTAGTATAATTGTTTGCTAAGTACTATCATACTCTATGCCCAGGGAAGTCGAGAAAATTTTTAACCAGAAAAATTCCTATTTGAGATGAATTAGTGAAAAAATATTTACATAAAGTTATGCTGAAATAATGGTCTCTCAATTTATCATCAAAATTGAAATTGCACTAAACTTCAAAAAATTAATTTAATTGTAATCAAATTTAAACATAATATTTGAATACACAAACATCCGGACACGGTTTAAAAATACGTTTTATTTTTAATAGTTCAACGTAACAGCTATACATTAGTAGGTATGTATTATGCTTATTGTAAGACCATTGTTTCAGTCTTCCTTCTTACCATAGGCTATTGCTCGAAATTTTCTTCATACACGGCCCATCATCTTTAGCACAAGCCCTGTTCTCACTTGTTTGGCTGCCGAATTCCATTTCCACTTGAAATCCTTCAGGTCAAGTGCAGTTACGCCATTTTTCTTCAGCATGTGCTTCAAAATTGACCAGTGTGCCTCAACTCCTTGAGAACCATTGTGACGCCATTTTCGATGTACCACTGTTTGGTGGAATTTGATTCCGGCCAGAATAGGCAATCTACACTTCATGCTGCTCCAGAAAATGTATTAGTCTCTTCCATAGGCACTCCTCCTGGTAAATTTACTGGTTCATGGTCCCAGAGGTAACGAAAGTTTCGCTTTTCAGCCCACAACTGCAGATTGCTTCCCAGACAAGGAACTTTTTGGTGGAATTTCGACTTCTTTTTGAATATACATTCTTTCGGGGCACTCTTCCTTTCAACCGTGGTATAAAATTCCTGCCCAGGAATTTGATTGAAAACTGCCAGGAGCGGATAGACCGAGATTTTCGTATCGAGGATCGAATCACGACGTTCTTGCTCCGGTGAAGCCATGATGTAAACAAATGAACTTATCCTGTCAACCAATGCCTACTGTGATTCTATACAATCTTATACCCCGTTCACATTACAGCGTATATTACGTGATATACGCTGTCTTGCAATGAGCACTCATACATCTAGTTTTCACTGGAAATCCTATGTATGAGTGCTCATTGCAAGACAACCTATATTACGTGATATAGGCTGTAATGTGAACGGGGTATTAGTGAAATTTTGAAAGAAATTACTCAAAATTCGTGGGATTTTTTCGTGTTCAACCTTTATGAGCTAGGTCTAGTAAAGTATTTAACAATGAGGGCCTAAAAAATCTCTCTAATCCCGATAAAATTTTCTGAGATCTCGATAAATATGAGCAAATACGCAAACCTCTCATTTGAGATTGGCTCGCTTATCGTTTTAGCGATGGATGATTAGAATTTGTCCGTCTTTTTAAATTTGTATGAGGAAGTTTAATACCCCGTTCACATTACAACGTATATCACGTGATATACGCTGTCTTGCAATGAGCTCTCATACATCTAGTTTTCACTGGAAATCCTATGCATGAGTGCTCATTGCAAGACAGCCTATATTACGTGATATAGACTGTAATGTAAACGGGGTATAAGAGTTGTCAGTCTTTTTGATGTGTTGTCTGCTTAAAGTTAAGATATAAAATATGGTCTAAGCCTTGTCTTCAAATTTATTCAACATTTTTGGTTTGATTGTAAAGTTAGACAAACAAGTTTCTTATGGTTCATTTTTGCCTTAATTAATCATGTTTTGTTGTTTTTGACATCATCCACATCCAGAGGGCCAGTCACTTTCGAATGTATGGGAATGGTAGGAAACCATTTGGAAATGCATGAAAATTTTCAGTTTTTATTCATTATCGTCTTTATGGGCAGTATTAGATGCACAAAAATTGCACGAGTACATTACTTTGGTGATAAGGTAAACACTCGTTTATTTATTTCTTTCTGTGAAAGCATGTTTAGTCACAAATCGTGGATTTTCTGATATTCTCCATACTACATAAATGATTTTCCTACCACTGAAGGGGCGACATCTCGCGGATCTTCAGTATAGCTACTACTCAAATCATATAATTAATTCTGACCAAATAAAATAATTTATTAAAAACACTCAAATATCCTGAGATTAAAATGCTCGAAGCTATTTTCAACAAATTTAAAAAAATCAAGATGGCATATTAGATATTTTTTTAAAAAATGTAGCATAGAAACGGCACCAAAATATCTCAAAAAGTTCTTGTTCGATTTTGATTTTTTTTTAATAAAGCTCATTTAAAATGCAAACTCTTGGAATGTTTAAAGTTAGTGAAAATTTCAAATTGTCAAAAATCATAGAACAAGAACTTATGGTCATTTTTTTAACTTTTTGTTAAATGCTGGATTTGAACATTACAAGCAAGCTGTTTTTACTGAACCTTTTTTTTTCCAAAAATCGGGCTAGTACATTTTCAGATAGGCTCTCTCGTTGTTAAAGGTTTAGTTACAAAGCAAGACCATGTTGGTGGCTGGGTTACAATGCCCGAACCGATCTAGGAAATATTCGGGTTGGAAAATTTCTCGATTTCCCTGAGCATAAAGTATGATTGTACTTGTTACACAATTATACTAATGCAAAAATGGTACAAGCATCGAAAGCTCTCAAATAATAACTGTGGAAGTGCATCTGGAACACTAAGTGGAGAGCACGCAATAAACTAATTTGCGATGAGCAAAATTCTTGAAATGCGAAGAAGATAATCTGATATATTTCTACTTTTAGCATTTTGAGATATTTGAGCTTTGGCTTAATTTTTTTTTTATTTTGTTTGAATTAAATTTAATAAAACATTTTGTCTCAGACGACATTTAGATCAGAAATGGCATTTCCGTGCTAAATGTTTTGAAAACTTTCATGGACGACATTTTAAAGTTTAAAAAGATCTAATACCCCGTTCACATTACAGCCTATATCACGTAATATAGGCTGTCTTGCAATGAGCACTCATACATATGATTTCCAGTGAAAACTAGATGTATGAGTGCTCATTGCAAGACAGCGTATATCACGTGATATACGCTGTAATGTGAACATGGTATAAAATAGCCTAATATTAGCATAAATCTGAATCATTACCCATAACAATGAATTACGCCAAGTTTCATACGAATCGGAGAAGGTCAATTCATAAATTTTTATTCTTTCGCTATTTTGCTTGGAACTGCTCTATAAGGATATTTTACAATAGGAAAGTGACCTCTTTAAAATTTTATCGATACATTATGCGGTATCATCGGCAAAAAGAATCGCAAAACCGTAAAATGCATCACGTATAATTGATATACATGATAAATAAAAGATGCCCTAATACACTTCGCTAAGGCATACCAAGTTAACTCCTCACGGCACTAGAAGCAAAGTTATTAAAAACAGTTATTTGAGTTATGCTTCATGTCCAATTAGAAATTTCAAAGTTGATAGAAATTAGCAATTAATCATCGTAAACATTCACTAACGAATAAGGTACATAAGGTACACCGGGACAAATCGGACCAGGTGGGATCGATCATTCTCAAATCTGAATGCCATACTTATATCAACAATCAATACGAAACTAACGATTTTAAATTGGCTCACTACTTGACTAGCCTATTGGTCCCAAGCAAACGATTAACGTACCCCATTCTAATCGAAATTCTAGTACTACGCAATGTTTGTTTTGATTCGCTATGAAAGTTTGACAGATAAAATGAGGGGTTATTGGTTTTTCCTATGTTTCGAGGGGTGAATCGATTAGCTTGCGACCAAAGAGAGTACCAGAGCTGAGCCAAAAAGTTGAGCACGTTATTTCGGGACCTTCTAGTCTTAGAGTTACCTCTATGCTTATATTATGCAGTTTCCTGTCTTATCGCACCCACATTTCAGCGTTCAGACTTGAAAATGGCCGTTCCCACTTACCCGCGGTCCCATTTACCCCGCTATAACTTATATAAGTTTAATACCCCGTACAGACTGTGGCTTATATCATGTAATATAGGCTGTCTTGCGATGAGCACTCATACATCTAGTTTTCATTGGAAATCCTATGTATGAGTGCTCATTGCAAGACAGCCTATATTACATGATATAAGCCATAGTCTGTCCGGGGTATAAAAATGATTTGTTAAATGATGAAAAATGTGATATACACAAAACATTTTTCGTAATAAAATCGAAAGCGATATAAACGAACCGTGAAAAAATCGGAATTCTTCAGAACACAAAATTCTTTAACTGATGGAAAATTTCAGAGTACATGAAAATCATATCACTACTGGGACTTGGATTCTTTAAGAGCACTACCTTGAACAGATTATCAATTCCGTGACGCCTTACAGAAATTTTCAAGAGTGCTCCCCCGGCTACGCCCATGGACATGAACATAAAAAAATAATCACAGTAGGTTTGGTCCCGTACTTGCTTTTTTGCTTTTGTTGTCAGTTGTTGTAAGAAAATAATACAGGATTCGCGATATCTCAACAGTCTTTTAATTGAGCTCACTTTTTGTGAGTGTCAAGTTTGTGGTTGGCCCTAATCACATGCAAAAAATCAGCTCAATTGATTGAAAGATTGCTGAGAAATGGCGGTAGGTAGACGACACCAACCATCGTGCAAATCGGGGATTCCTGTATTATTTTCTTACAGCAACTTACAGCAAAAGCAAAAAAGCTAGTATGAGAACAAACCTAGTATAGACTTATTGACCACTCTGCTAACTATAATTCTAAATCCTGGCTTTGGAAATATTATCACAGGAAAATGTAAGATTATTTATTATATCTAATCAATAACTCACATTTTGATAATAAAAAAATAGATTCTAGAGGGAAATAGTTTTCGTTAACAGCAATTTTATGCTAAAACAATTTCCGTGACAATGTATTCCGAGAAAGGATTTATTCGTGGAGATGATTTTATGGGACACTTATTTCTGGAAAACGGATTGCTGTGCTACTACAAACAGAGAGTACACGGATAGAAATCTCCTTATACTTTTTGGCAAATTTCCATTGCTGATTATTCATAAAATGTATAAGTCAACTAATAAGCAAACGCCTTGCAAAAAGTTAATAAAGATCATGTGTCAAATGAAATGTATAAGCGGTCACACATACCTTTTATGCATTCTAATAGGACCTATGTGGTTTGTCTTATGGAATGTTTAAGGCTGATGCTTTGGCAAAAATGTATAAGTGAAACACATGAATTAAATAATTGATTTTCGTTTCGTGTAGCAATTTCAAATTTGTATGTTTTGTGGAAGCTGAAATTTGTGCCTTTGAAGTTTCACGCTAAGGCTTCCTTAGAGTATCACCTTAAAAGACGTATTTACTCAACTTTCATGGGTTGCTACGAAAAGTATTGCTGCCTTTCAACTGTATAGTGTCAATTCCAATAGCGTAGTTGTTGAGTAATTTTTTAAAAGCTAGTTCCAGTAAGGCGAGTGAATTTCAAGACCAAGTAGGTCATTAGACCTAAATTTTAACTGGCATCTATTTTTCGTCAAGCGTTATGCTTTAAAACACATTTTCCAAGTTCCTCGAATCTTCAACAACTTCAATATTTCTCTAGTCCCAGAACCTTGAACACTCCTCCAAGTCTAGAATATAGGGGAAATAGTTGTAATGTCGGCCTTAACGCCCCTAATTTGGGCCCATACATAAATTCAGCAATTGACTAAATTTTCAATAGCGACCAAAAAATCCATTAGTACCGTCCCAATGACGCGTTCATCAAGATAAAAATCTTAGATCCATAGGCCAACAGTAGAGCCATTTCCCGTAGAAAAATGTTCTAAATCTGATATCTCGAAAACTTTTTAAAATTTACATCTTTTCCATTTCTCATAATTGTGAAAACCTGCCGATGTTCAGGATCTCAAAAAAAAAATTGCATCGATATTTGTTTTTTTCAAGAATCTTGAAAAAAATATAATTTGGCATCATCTGACATTGTTTCAAATCTTAAAACATTCGATATATTTTATGCAGAGTCTTGGCAAAATGTCTGTTTCCGAGATCTCGCATATCTCCTGAGTTTCGATTTTTTCTGAATCTTGGATGTATTTTTCGGATCTGAAAATATCCAAAAGCGTCATTTTTTCCAAAAAGTCTGACATTTTTTGGTCAAAGTAGTGGTAAAATTTCTCGAAGTCAGAGAAATAAATCTCGGATTCTCAGACTTGGAAAAATCTCTAAGCTCTCGTAAAAGTTGTATGTCCCAGAATCATGAACATTTTCTTAAGTCGACAGATTATTTTAAATCCGCTATCTTGATAAAAAAAAATTGGTCCGAGAATCAAAAGAAATTTTTGATGTTCAGTCTATCACTTTCTAAAATTTGGCTCTATGACACCCGTCCAAACGGCGTTCGGCCCATTTTGGAAAATCTGGAACTGAAAGTATTGAAATGGGTAAAATGGCTCTTATGTTTGGCCCATGCATATGAAGATTTTGCCCATCGATAAAAAATCTCCTGTTTTAAATATTTATTAGAACAATGCGTCATCTGGACAAGATAGATGGATATTGTTGGTTACTAGTAAAACATTGGCAAAAAATGGTTTTCTTCGAAATGTATGTATGAGCCCAGTATTAGGAACACTTAGGCCGATATTAGGGACACTAATCGTACATGAATTTAAAAAAAAAATCACGAAAATTAAACTAAAGAATGGCCTGAGGAACACATACCCAAGTACAGCACATTACAGTAATGCACAGTAGATAGTTCAAATGTAGATAGTCGTGTTAAATGTGTGGCACTTACTTTATTTACCTTGCTATAATTTCTCCATCTTTGATTGCATGACCTGACAGCGTCTCCAATGTATAATTAATTACACGCTGCTCGTATCTTTACAGAGGCACTGCCGTTTAAAGCATAACGGCAACGTGCTCATCGAGATGGTCAACACCGCAAAACAGTCACAAAACGTAACTGATACACGCAATTTGAAGAAAGTGAGAAAGCCATTTCAATCATTCGACTCAGTTTCACAGGATATCCCCGTACAGCCGGTCACGCTGCACCCGATAGAGCTTGTCCCCGAAGTCAGCCTAATTGTCCAGGATGAACCAATCATTCACCCTTCATCGCGGGAGATCATCCACTACCCAAACATTAACAGCAGCACCGCCGTCCACAGTATCAGCATAGCTCCCGTAGCAACGCGTACCTCACCAATGACCATGACGTTCATCAATCTGACGGACGAATCCTCCATGGAACCGCCCTCATCATTTCCGACACCAATGCAAACCGACAGTGCCCCAACCAGTGATGCCACCACGGAAGAGCCGTATGAAGAACCGGTGGCTCCCCGATTGAAACGGTACCAGTGTGATGCGTGTCCCTACGTGACCGACAGCAAGACCCAGTTTGCCTACCACAAGTCTTTCCACAAACCACGTGGTGATCCGTATAAATGTAACATATGTTCATATAACGTCACAAAGAAGCACCTGTTAATTCAGCATCAGAAGACACATGCAGAAAGAACTGTTCCCTCGACTACATCCAATAGCCATACTGTATCGAAGGCCAGAACAACTACCACTACAAAAACGGTCGGAGGAGGCGGCGAACTTTCCATAGTGATGGGTAATGAAACCAAGTCTACTGGATTGACGCCAGCCGATATCCTAGACCTGACGAAGAAAATGCGCGACGAAGTGAGCATAACACCTGCCAGTGGGACTCCCACCGGGAAGATACATGTAGACGAAAAGATCGTCTACTACTGTGCCTATTGTCCGGCTCGATACTTGGATGAAAGTGAAATCGTTATCCACCAGAATCGTCATACGCAAGAGGAAAAGTACAAATGTGACCTTTGTTCGTTTTCTACGTGCGACGAGTCCGGTATACCGACCCACAGGAATGTCCATTCAGTCAATTACCACAGAGGCACAGAAGAGCTGCAAAAGTTGAACATCGAAAGCAATAAGCATCCACGTTCGAAGCTAGTCCAGGTCGGTGAAAGTGAAAAACTATGGGTAGTTCAGATGGACCACGAAAAACTCCACAATGAACATGCCGAAACGCCGGAACCTGAAGGTAAACCTCGTCCGCGGAGATCAACCAGATCCAAGAATAGCAGTCCAATGGTGACGACCGCCATTACCGAGATAACCAAAGAACCAAAGGTTTACAGCTGTGAACATTGTGATTACACGGACAGCTCGGAGTGTTCCTTTAAGGATCATGTGAAATTCCACTTTTCGGATATTATGCTCCCCAAGGTGGATAAGTACGCCGCATTGGACAAGTCGGAGGTAATGTTCAAGCTGATCGCAACCTCCAAAGATAATCCAATCGAAGAATTCGAACTGCGCTACGATTCAGATGGAGTTGTGATGGACACCGACATCAGCGAATGCAACAGTACCGATAGGATTATCATTGACTTCTAAGCTAATAGATGTAATAAACTACACGCAGATTCACTTACACAAAATGGAAAGTAGTAAGCATATAATCTCCACACAAAACACACGTAAATAGAAATGTAAAATGACCAGTGCACATGTAAACGACACCTGAAATTTAGCATGTAAGTAATTTCCTGTAAAATCAAGGAGTGAAGGTTCTTCGTAGTTTGCCATTCAACCAAAATTGGAACAATGAGAAAATCTCAAACAAGTACAAATTGAGTTATTTTATTTTTAGTAACGAAATTTTAGCCAATCGAAAAAACAAACAAAAATAGAAATCTTCAGTTAGTTTTCTAGTTTCGTAATGCACCTAATAAGGACTAATCAGTTTATTTTGTTCCCAACGATAGCGCATATTTACACAACACACACACAAGGATCATAGCTATTATTCAACCACGGGCTTTAAGGGATATTTCTGTTGCAATTATAGGACAGCTTCTTCGGTTTAGATTTTAGTTTTCGCGCACACATACACACATTTTACTTTACATTACAACCCAAGAAAGGAAACGCTTCACGGCCGCATTTGATGCGTAGTTTGCATGCAAAAAGCTAGTATTATTGAATAATTTAATCGTACTCATCATCAATTGAAAAAAAAACGGAAAAGGAAATAAAATCACGATGAATTCCATTTTACCAGTAACTATTAGGACCACAATCGGAGCCAAAGTGTAATCAATCAAAATTATTTAATTACAGTTAAGATATAACGGTAAACAGCGAGAATGGTAGAGTTTGTAATTACTGGTACGTGCTGTTTGTAGGATGTACTTTCGATTGATTGAATAATGAAGTAGGCGAGGAAGCATTAGACTAGAGTATGTAGAGGAAAGATATACAGAGCAAATACTTTGCGGCACAATATCAGACCGAGTAGTTTTCAATATTGTATCGTACGTGTAAATATTCGATCTTAGCTGATAACATTTGTTGTTGAATTTGATTTTTAGGAACTTGGCGTTAATAAACTAAATGGTTATTTATGTGGGAATTGGTGTTTTCGTTTCCGAAAAGTCATTGCAAATTCCTTCTGGGTCTTTTCTCGAAGGAAGGAGAGAAGCAACTGAACCAGCTGGTTTGAACACCTCGAACAATTTCTACACATTTCAATGTCAAACCAGCCATCAACATCATGGCATCATCTACGTTAAAATCCCAGGATTAATTTAACTGCAAAACATGCTAGACACACAAATGTGACATCAGTGACGCACACCATATGCCACAATTGGTGAGGCACCATATTAGTGTGTATTGTTCTCAAGGTTACGTGCAAAGTTATTCTGACTAGGATCGACGTGACCCTTTTGTGGTAACAGGTAGGACTCACTAGTCACGCTCCGTATCATCCTAGAACAGTTCAACGAATTCTAAGCGAGTCTGTGCTTGGTAGTATGGGGTGCTCTGATGCGCAAGGAAGTTCTTGATACAATTATCAGCCGAATCGAAGTGCAGAACAATACTTTCCGGGTAGCCACTGGCTTCTGATAAAGGCCTGTATAGAGATCGAAGCGAAGCGAAAATCTCATACAAAATACTACATTTTTCACCTGCGTGAAAAACGCAATTGGCAAATATTTCGCTTCGCTTTGAACTGTAAACAGATACGATCCAGCGAAATCTAATGTTGTGGATCGCATCTTTTTCGCTTAAGACCTGTATAGAGATCGAAGCGAAGCGAAAACCTCATATAAAATACTAATTTTTTTCACCTGCGTGAAAAACGCGATTGGCAAATTTTTCACTTCGCTTTGAACTGTAAAACCTAGTATACAGATCGAAGCGAAACGAAAACTGAAGCACGCGAAAAATCATGAAATTTCGCTAGCGAAAAAGGTTGTGAAAAAATGTTTGTGGAACATTTTCCAGTTTCATTTTTCGCAGTTTACAGTTTATGTTAAACGAAATCGATCAGTTACACCAACAATCAATATGAAACTAACAATTTTAAATTGGCTCACCACTTTAGTAGCCTATTGGTCCCAAGCAAACGATTAACGTACCCTATTCTAGTCGAAATTCTAGTACTACGCAATGTTTTTTTTGATTCGCTATGAAAGTTTGACAGATAAAATGAGCACGGCGAATGAGAACGACTCAAATTTGAGTTTAGTTCACTCATAATCGCCAAAAGTGCAGGAACTCAGCGATGAGTAAATTTGCCTCATGTTTTCCCAGGATTTTCCAGGGGAAAAATCTCGAATTTGAGAAAAGTAAAGATTGGCGCTCGCGAAAAGAGCAGCAGCTAAGCGAAAAGTTGACGTTTCGGGAGAGCGTATCTGTCAGATTTTCACTTCACCGGAGGTGTAAACTGATCGATTTCGTTTCACATGAACTGTAAACTGCGAAAAAACGAAACGAAACGAAGTAGGGTGTTTGTTTTTGCTCTACCAAGCAGCGGCGCGAGTTGATAGGTAGAGCCAGAGCTGCCAGGTGGTTTTATAAAAAATCTGTATCCACTCTATTAAAAAATCTGTATTTTCTGTATTGACGATTTTTTTTCTTAATTAATCATGTTTTGTTGTTTTACAAATACAGTGCATACAAAATAACCATAAAAAGTGCTTAACCACCTGTTCGGGCTATCGTACTAACCATACGGGATATAATTGCGCCATTTGTGATATCGTCCGTACTTATTTATAAGAGTGATATGAACATAGAGGTAACTCTAAGACTAGAAGGTCCCGAAATAACGTGCTCAACTTTTTGGCTCAGCTCTGGTACTCTCTTCGGTCCCAAGCTAATCGATTCACCCCTCGAAACATAGGAAAAACCAATAACCCCTCATTTTATCTGTCAAACTTTCATAGCGAATCAAAACAAACATTGCGTAGTAGTAGAATTTCGACTAGAATGGGGTACGTTAATCGTTTGCTTGGGACCAATAGGCTAGTCAAGTAGTGAGCCAATTTAAAATCGTTAGTTTCGTATTGATTGTTGATATGAAGCCGTTTGAAAATGTATGGAGATTTTAGTTTCTATTCATTATCTTCCTGATAAGCAGTTTTAATTGCAAAAAAGTGCACGAGTTCATTACTATTTGATATTTTTAATATAGATGAATACAATTAATTACATCATTTGTGTGGTAGTTACACCGAAAAGTCGAGAGATGTCGCCCCGCCAGTGCTGGTAAAATCATTTTTGCAGTATGGAGAATATCAGAAAATCCGCAATTTCTTATGAAATACATTTTCAATGCAAGTAAAATGTTTACGAGTACTTGTATTTGTACCATTTTAATGTGCTCGGGCACTTTTCTTGTATTTAACATACATGCTTATATTGGAAATATTCAATTAATACTGTAAATCCCCAGCTCCATATGCATCCGAAAGCGGTTGGTCCTCTGGTTGTGAATGCTGTCAAAAACACCATAACATGATTAATTGTCGATGGAAATTTGATAGGTTCCCGAGCAGAGGGTGAGAACAAAATGAAAACAAGAATTATGTTGTTTGCATTATTCCTGATAACTCAAATTGATTTCATTTTGATGGAGTTGATGGCTAACAGAACAAAAATGAGAGCTAAAAGATATGCGAAGAATATCAAAATTATAACATATATTGATATTAGTGAGAACTGCTTGATAACTTATTTTGATATAGATATTTTATTTAGATTACAAATTTAGTTATCAACATGTTATTGCATGCATGCCGAAAAAACAAAATAAAAATACATCAAATTTTGATGTCATCATGAGTTATTTAAAGGCAGCTATATAAACGCACAGTGGAATCAATTAAATGTTCCATAAACTTTTAAATTTTTTTTTATGGTAGAGGAGCATAGCGACGAGTAAGCTTCTTCTAGTCTTTTGAGCCAAATTGGATTTCGTTTTCTTTCATGTTCGCCTTTTTCCTTCTGTGAAGTTATATTTAGTAGAGAGTCGCGAATTTTGTGATATTCTCCATACTGCAAACACAGTTTTCCAACCACTGGAGGGGCAAAAACTCTCGGATACTTGATAAAACTATCCCAAAATCCCACTGCAAAAAATATGGTTTTTAGCACAACAATTAATTTTGGAGAGAAGGGGGTACGCTGATAAAATCGAGCAAGTTATTTTGTTTTTATAAATTTGGAATTTTTTTTCTCAAGCATTTTATAAAAATCTGTATAAATCTGTATTGTAATTTAAAAATCTGTGATAAATCTGTATTCTGTATCGGATCTGTATTAAGATTAAAAAATCTGTATAATACAGATAAATCTGTATAAATGGCAGCGCTGGGTAGAGCCCTGGCGTCGGTAGCATTGGTGCTCAGAACGGAAAACAAGATCTACAGAAAACAAATCAAGTAAAAAAAGCTAAACCGATTTCACATGTGAGCTCATTTGGATGCGAACATATCCTGCACAGGCCCTTAAAGTATGTATGGGAATTTTCAAATACAAAAGTTTTAAGTTTATTACTGTTTAATATTCCTTTGACAGGTCACGGCGGTAAATAATAGCGGTTGTTGATCGGTTTGCAGTTCACACTAAAAGAGAGCTAGTTCCAGCTGACAACGTTTATTTATTCCGTACAATATCGTGCTTTGAGCACCCAAACAACCTCAATTATTTAGCAAATTGATTCTTTACTTAAATTGTGGATTCATTAAATAGGCAAAGTTGAGTTCAATCATACCATGCAATTAAAATATTCATATATAGCTTGAGTGTAATGAATTTGAGTGGCGTTTCCTTAACCTCGATCTACCTGTGCACCAACTCTCAAAACATAAATAATAATCAATATATTGCCTGCAATAGATAGATATCGAGTAAACTAGAAGATTGAGTGTATTTTCAACCGATTCGAATATGAATATGGCATTAAATCTGGGTTTGAAAGTTAATGCACAGGTAAATAGTGAGGTTACGGGACGCCACTGGTATTTTGTTATATTTTCTGTGGTTTAAGGAAATACCTGCATACATACATACATTTTGCATTTCACTACATATATTATATAAATTATACATTGCATGATATACTATTACCTTTAGCTTAATATTTCAGTTTACCCAAGCAAGTCATCGAAATTAATATGAAACAGAAGCATTAAATAATATTATATGTTTATAATTATTAAGCAGGTTATTTCTCGTCATGTTAGTTATTCATCACAATTTTTAGCATTATTGTTAGTATCATTCGAGCAAAATATATATAATTGCTTAATATATCCTATACATTTCAGTGTTGCATCCACCTGTTGTGAGCTGAGGAGGTGTAGAGCTGCATCTTATTATATGTAAAATACTTCTTCATTGTAGTAGCAACTATATTATCCATATAAATGTTTTTCATTATGTCATATTTTAATGTTCTGATATATTTCATTTCTCCATTGCATATATTTTTATTATTATATAAATAAATACTGGGTTGGGAGGGAGCATCAGGGTATCATTCAAACTGAAACTGGACGATGGTATGATTGACAGCCGGAGTCTAGGAGGGAATAAACACTATCATTTTCTTTATCCTACCGATTCGATTGTGGTGGTGTGAATTCTACTCCAACAGTTTCAGGGCGAATGACGCGCCCTTCTTAACAAACCATCCAGTAGGAAGCTTAATAAGTATTGCGAATTGTGTTATTCGATTTGTTGGAGCATATCGTTGGAAGGAGATTCTTAAGTTCCCGTGGATTTCGCGTAAGTGTCTCTGCTTACGGGTCCACCCCTCCGTTTTTGGCCCTTCATACAGCGATATAGTGAATTCAGATCGGTAGCTCAAATTGATCTTGCTATTAAGTGGAGCTGCATACAAGACAAGTCTTGAAAGGATGGTGGCTACCTTACATACATACATACAATATCGTGCTTTGAGCACCGACGAGCTGACGTGACAGCATCGACAAACCGACATGAATTACCATAGCAAAAACACTCAAATTTCTGACCAAAGTACACTAATGACATCTGGCTCCGTGTTCACGGGAAATATTTAGCTAAGCCAAGAATCTGCACGCAAAAGTTA